ATAATATAGTTCAACTATTCGTAGCTGAAGAACAGTCAATAGAGATTTACACATTATAAATATGTGTGAAACTGTAATAACAGATGAAGCAATAGTCAAGTTGTATATCAAGTGAAACATGGTAATTAAAATGTTATCTTGATTTTATATGAAACATTTTTATCAAGGCTATTTTTGATTTGAACGAAAAGAGAATAGTTTCATCATAAATAGTATATGTCTCTATAATGCATATAAATATTTTATAACTTTGACATCTAGTGATATTATAGTTCATTCATTTTTACATATAATTCGGAAAAAAAAACGAGATTAAATTCCCATGTATCTTAGTTCAGTATCCATTCGTTTTGTAATTTCATAATACTGAAGTTCTATATATCTATAGCCAATCGATCTTCTAAACATCGATGGCGAACTAAATGCTGAAGTTTTTTTTTTTTTTGAATAAAATGAAGTTTTCGAAAAATATATATAAATTAATTCAAAATCTAACCTTGAACAATACCCCATGGATATTGTCTAGCTCGTACATATTGATTGCCAACTTTAACTGTTTCATTACTTCCAACAACAGCTAATGGAAGAAGATTCTAAAACAAAAAAAAAGCAAGAGAAATAAATTAAATCTTTAAAATAAATATAAAGATTTACATTAGCTTTAAGATTATCTTCAGCTAATGTTTCATCATCTGTTGGAAAACGATAAATTTTAACACCAGCTAAATTAAGTTCATTAAGAATATTTTGTTTAAATCTTTGTAATTCATTTTTTGATATTGTATCTGATTTAGCTATAATTGGTATTATATTAACTTTATTATCTAAATGTTTCATTGTAACTAAATCAAGTGCTTTTAATGAATGACCAGTTGGATTTATAAAATATAAACAAACATGTATACGTGTATCATGATAATTTGATAAATTTCTTTTTATTTTAAGTTCTTCATCTAAATAAATTTGAAATTGTTCATCAATAAAATCTCCAATAATTTTAAATGAATCATCTTTATTTATTTGATCACCAAAACCAGCTGTTTCAACAACAGTTAATTTTAAACGTATTTCACGTTCAAATAAATCATAAGTATTTTTACGTAAATAAACACGTGTATTTTCATGTGTTGATGGTGTTGAATCTAATCGTGTATTAAATAAACTATCAAGTAATGATGATTTACCACAAGCTGTTTCACCAACACAAAGTATATTAAAAACAAAACCATCAGATATAGCTTTAGCCATAATTTGATTTGGTAAATTATTAATACCACATTCTTCTTTTAATTCAAATGTACGAATAGATGGAGTCTAGATATAACAAGATTAAAAAATTGAATAGAAATTTTCATATAGATTTATTTTACTTGTAAAGAATCCGTTGGACGAGAAACGTCTTTCATTTTATTTTTTGTTTGTTTGCTGTTTAGAAATCAATGATTAAGATCAAAAGTGAACAGTCCTAAGGAAGAAATGATCGATTGATGATTAATCGATCAATTTGACATTTAGTAAACGAAAAAAAAAAGGAAGAATGACCAATCGAAAAATAAAAGAACAAATTTTCTTTCGTTTCGTTATCTATTGGAAAAAGATCATCATTCGACATCATACGACATCTGGAATTTTGATTTGATTTTTGAACTTCTTCAAAAGCAATATTCTCTTTCTTGAAATTCAAAGCAACTAATGATTATCAAAGTCATTGAGATCTTAAATTGTCAAACAATAGATAACTCATAACCGACTTACATTTGTGAATATTCTACTCATAGGAAGAGGGATGTGACGTTCACGGAGTGCGCAACTCCTTACTTTTAAAAAATTGTATATGCATCTTTTTAGTTCTCAAAAAATTTCCTTGTACATCGTCCCTCCTTCCCCTCCCACTTTTTTCTCTTCGTCACATCTATGATTCATAGTAGAATAACAGATGAAGTTGTGTGAATACGTATTACACTGCATAATTTTTTAGTAGTTGTAGTCGAAGGTTACTCAACATGATTTAATGTATAGTATGTTTCTTTATCTTTTATCTTTGTTAGATCATAGATAAATTCTCTCTTTTTATTTTTCATTATCCGAAAATCCTTCATTTGATGGTTATGTTTTGTATCGAAAAAGAAACAAGCTTTAGTTAATCATAAAAGTAATCCTTGTAGAATGTAGTATTTTAAAAACTGTTGTTTTTCTTTTTGTTGAACGAAGAAAAGATTTCTTATTTCAATGTTTTTTTTTTTTATAACAGAAATAATTTTTTATTGAAAATCATGAACAATCAAATAGAATTATTTATGAAAGTACTTTATATTCATTATATCATTTATTAATAATTCAATATACATAAAAGGAAAAGAAAAATATCATAAAATTAATCATAAAATAAATAATAAATTTATATCAATGAATACAACTATTTAATGTAGTACCATTATCATTTTGTATTCCAATGAAAACAAAATTTATTTTTGTTAAGATCAATTTAAAAAGAAAAATAATGATTGATCATTGGTTAAAACGTCTTCATTTGTTTGACATCAGGAAAAGTTTAAAATACTATTTTAACATAGAACAAAAAAAAGCTTCCAGCAATTTAGATCTATGAAGTCTATATAAAAAAATCAAAGTATAAAAACAATGGTTTGACTAGAAAAAAAAACCAAGAAGACATTGATTTGTTTTTTTCTTTGAAAGATTTGTACTTGATTCAATATGTTTTTGACACAATCCAATGAGTACTGTCAATTCATATATAACACGCCTAGAAATTATATGAACTTCTATTATATTAATAAAATATAACGGAAAATTCTTTTTGAAAGATTATAGAAAATAATAATCATAATTGTTTTCGTATTTTTAAATTATTATATAAAAAAAAAATATTAAAAAAATAGTTGTATAATGTTAGAAATACAAAAAAACGAAGAAGAATATATTGGAATAGTGATATATTTAAATTGCATTATTTTGCATCATACATATTTTGATTTCATCGAAGATCTCAAATAACTTTCAATAAAAAGAAGAAAAAAAAGCCGCTTATGTAAAAACTATTATTGAATAATCGATCGATTATTCTTTTTTCTTTCGTCTACTATCTTCTTAATGTATATGCTAAATATCAAACTGATTTATCTTTTTTTCTAAAGGTTATTATCAATAATAGTTATTTATGTCAATTATTACTGATTTCTTTTTTTTTTCTTCTAAATTTTATTCTTAAGATCAAAAAAAAAAAAAACAAGAAACAAAAACTAATTGAATATACTTCATTGTTTTCTTTGTTAAGCGTAAAAAAGTATTTGGTATATTTAAAAGAAAAAACTCATTAACATACTTCCGTTCCTGTACAGTGTCATTTCTTTATATATGTTTGCATGTGGTAAAATGATAGAAATTTCCGGATTGTTTGCTAACTATCATCACGTAATCAAAGCTATAATGATTTATCTTTCTATTATCCTCGACAAGTCGGATTACAGGTGTTTGAGTCGACAAAACAATGCCATGTATATATATATATATATATATATGTGTATGTTCATTTTTCATTCTTCAATTCAAATGTCGGAAATCACTATCGTCACTATCGAAAAAGATAAGAGAATAATGTTGAATTGATAATGAGAGACAGAACGATGAACATATATAGTCGAGACATATAAAATAGAAAATTGATTGTTGTAAAACTCTTCAAGCTTTCATTCTGTCTGTTCATTTTACGATGATTACGCATTTAGGAATAATTTCGCTTGAATAAGTTATATACATGTAAGCTGATCAACATATATAAAAAAAAAGAAAGAAAGAAAACGGAAAAACATTTTAAAATAAAAAAAAAAAAACGATAAATTACACATGTGTTTATCTTATATCCCTTTGGAATGTTTCTCATATGTATGATTGTTATCAGAAAAAATAAGAAGACATGTATGTTGTGCAAACTTATCATTGAATGTCATACATTTGTCGAATGAGCATGAAATATATATGTGTAAAGACAAAGACAAGTATAATCCAACAATAATTAACATTTATAGTTATGAACATGTATGAGGTTTCATCATTAGAATTAATTTGCCACTGACAAAAAGACAATATTAAATCTGTACGGCAAGGTCTTCTTTTTAGATATATATATATATATTTTATATGAAAGACAGTTAATAACAAGGATGTGCTTGAATAGACATATTTCTAGCTCAATCAAAAAATAGAACGAATAATGGAAAATTTCTTGTTTTTTAGAACGACATTTATCGTTGTCATCGTATGTTATTTTAATTTAATAATCAAAAAAGAAAACCCGAGTGCCCGACGTTTTTTTTTTTTTATTCTCTTCAACGCGTACAACAACAATCGAGAAATAAAAATGACGAAGCGAGGCAAATAATAGATGATGAATGCAAGCAATAAGAAAAGGAGGGAGAAAGAGAGAGAGAGAGAAAGAAAACGGAGTTTCTTTATAGAATATGAAAGTGAACACATCATAGTAAGATTCTAATGAATTGAGAGTCTAAAAATAACTCTACTTTGTATTCTCTATTAATTTTCGATTATCACAATTGGTCCTACAAGTAATTTTTTTACAATCATTTATTCACACATAGAAAAAAGAAGAGAAAGAGATGGTCAATTTTCTTTTCTTCCTTCCTCCCATTCTTCACTCACTGGACACTTCTTCTCTTGTTCATCACTTTCGCCTTCTTGCTTACACACGCATACAAACACATACCATACGCACAGCAACATGGTCTTAGCACATCATCACATCACACGGTTGGCTCCGTACAACAAAAAAAAAAGAGGTCTTTCTTTATAGTTAAGAGTATCATTCTTTCCTATCGAAGTCGATTGCATCATTCATACACATACATATAGACGATAATGATGATGGCAATTTGCTGCTCTCTTCGTTCTATTCTTTTGAGTTTTTCTTTTTTTTTGTTTCCACATTGAAGATTGTTGAATTGAATATATACGTTTATCGACACATGTTCTACCTATTGATCATTGTGATCTATTTTAATCATCACCTGCTGTTACATACAACATCAGCATCATCATTATTATTTACACTTGATAATGTACGATATTCATTATCAGATCGTGTATTAACAATACCTAAATTAGGTGCTCTTCGTGGTATACATATTGATTATGAGAATGAATATTATAAAAAATATAATCTTGTAAATATTGAAGCATTTCTTGGTTTACAATATGGTTTATATCATGGAAGATTTGAACCATCAAAAGAACGTTTTGAATTACATCCAACAACAAAAGTTAATAAACAAATATATTTTGGACCTGCTTGTGCACAATATATATGGACAAATCAAAGTGAATTAATACGTATACGTACAGAAAATTTTGCTAAACAATATTATCCAAAATTATTAAAATATATACAAAAACAAAATGAACAACAATGTCTTTATATGAATATTTATCAACCACAAATCAAAAATTTAAAAGGTAAAAAAATTTTGATTGATGATCATCATCAATTTATATTTGTATATAAATCGTGTCATTTTTCTGAGATAAGCAGTCAAACTAAAGATGAATGTCATTCTTCTTCGTCTTCTTATTGTTGTTGTTGTTTCTCAGTGTACTAGACAATGATCATTGTCTATAAAGCTACCGCACATGCATATACGTTATTGATGTGAGGTGAATTTATTCTCAATGATCGATGATCCCGACGTCCTGTCGACTATCAAAAAAAAAAATCATTCTACTAATACTACGAACCATGTGTACTAAATGAGATGACATTGTTGATGCACGTTTGATCTTTTGTATGTATACAAATAGATACAGTTCCATTAAGAGAAACATCTCAATCTCAAATACATTGTTGAAGATGGTGTTGACGTGAAAGAAAGATCACACTAATCCCGTAAGACATTCAACTGTACAAAAAAAAATACAATAGAACGACATTCAATCTCTGTTTTTGACAAGCTTTGATTGAAAATGAAGACTCATGAGAATTTCTATTTTGTTTCTTTCTTTTTTATATCTATTTAGAACCACTTCCAGTGCTTCTCTTTATTCATGGTGATGGTTATGACATCGGTACGGGTGCAGCTTTTGATGGAGCTATATTTGCTAGTTATACGAAAGCAATTGTTGTTACAATCAACTATCGACTTGGCCCTTTCGGTAAGTGAAATATGAGAATCAAGAGAGTGTGTGTGTGTGTGTGTGTGTGTATATGAGAGAGAAATGTAACGGAAAAAAAGTCGCCGTACGCGTTTATTTGCAGATCGTCATCTCTTTTTCCATTTTCTACTCGAATGAGCAACAATTCAGCATAGCAATAGTAGTTGTTGTAGGCTTGATCAAGGTTCTATTATTTCCTGTATATTCGATGAAATTGGTGATTGCCAATCGTTAGGGTATTTCCGCTGTGCGCTCTTGTCATAAACTAGACAAATTTCTTATCGTTGGGTGGCAATTATTGTTGATTAACTAACATTTGTCCCTCACCAAATAAACTCTCGTATATTTCTCAGTCTATTAGAAACAGTCATTCAACTGCTTGAATGAACATGTCTATCACTACTGTGTTCTATGATATATTCATATATATATATATATGTATATGAAAAAAATAAGTACATCAAGAAATTAAATGTAAATGATGAATGAATGAATAAATAAATAAAATGAGAAGACTAAATTTATATGCATAGACATTTATACACGTGCCAAAGACTGATGACATAAGTTCTCATGACATCAAATCATCATTTGGCATTTTGTTGTTATGAAGAATAAGAAAAGAAAAAAAAACTCCAAAAGCCATAGGGTGATTTATTTATTTTAATAATTGTTGTTGAGATCGAAGCAATTTTAATTGGACATGAATGTGAGAACAAATGAATGATGTAACTTCGTCTATGTCTCATCACAATCTTTTTCTGTCCGGGTGCCATTTAATGTTTATACATATATACATATACAAAGTCACAAGAGATTAATGAAGAGGGATAGTCGAGTGTAAGCTTAAGGCAAAAATATTCATTAATCAAACGTCTTCAATCGATTTGTCGTTTTTTTTTGTTGAGAAGCCTAGACAAGGTATGTGTGTTGCTTAACATTGTCATATGAGAAATACAATTGATAAAATAACATTGATCGTATATATATAAGAAGAAAAAGAAAAAAAAAGTGTGTCGCATACACTTGAAGTCAAACAATAGAACAGTCAGTCAGTTAGTTAGTTTGATTGTTTGAAAAGAAAATGAATTACCCAAGGTGTCCGTTCGCTCTTGTCTAGAACAACATTCAATTACGGGCAACATATGACGTCACTAAATTCAATTAGATATATTTTTTTTATTATTATGACTATTGAACAATATCTAGATAGTATAGCGTGACTTAACACTCAAGATATAAAGAAAAGAAAAAGCCTTGACAAAAAAGAAGATTTTTCTTTGCCCTTCTCTATTCTAAACATGCGATCAAGATAATAATAATCATACATCTATCAATCTATGTCGAGACATCGATTATTACTACTTTTAGATCCATATGATAAAACAGAAGATTCTAGTTGTTATTTCCCGTGTCATTGCCATACTATTCAATAAGCATGTGTACATATGCATCGACAATAGTAATGTTTACATACCCGCAATCAGTAGTCTGATCTTGATCTGTTAAATGCTCGCAGGAGCAGTTGTTCAAGAATAAAGAGAAAAGAACAATATGGCTTTTGAAAAGTGTTTGTTTGATGTTCAACCGACTGTCTCTTCTATCTTTGTAAATGTTGTTTATTAAAAAAAAGAAATGAGTTGTTTTTCTCATGAGAGTTATGCAAATTCTTCGGATTCTTTTTTTTTTTCAAATGCATTGTGTGACCAATGATTATAATATGGATCTAAAATTCATCACAAGTTTATATTACAATTAATATGATATACAAGGTTATCTTTTACTTTGTAGGTTTTCTTTATCTATCACGTGAGAATAAAGGTGATTATGCATTACATGATATATATACATCATTACATTGGCTAAAAAATTATGTGACAAATTTTAATGGTGATCCAGATCGAATTACATTATATGGAACAGGATCAGGAGCTGTATTGGCTAGTCTTGTTGTTATGCTTGAAACTGTCAATGGTTTGTAAATGTGAAACTGTGTTTTTTTTTTTCTTCAATACAATCGAACATAATCTTAGTAAATCTTATATTTATTAGGTGGTACAGGAACAATAAAACGACGTAAATCTTTAGTTCATCGTCTTATATTAAATGATCAAACATTTCTTTCTCCATATATGACATCAATTGTAAATGAAATTTCATCATATCAACGAGATATTTTATCAGATTTATCATGTTCAACATTATTATGTTTACGTAATGAAAGTTTAATAAAAACAAAAGATTTATTAGAATTAAATACATATTCAAAAAATTATGGATATATAAATTATATTAAACCATTAGAATATCCATTTCCATTTTTTAATTCTTTTCTTGATACAAAAATTGATCATATAAATTCATTACGCATGAAATTTTATCATCAATCAAATACACTTTTACCAGAAAATCTTCATATTTTATTAACAATATCATCATCAATTAATCATTCATTATTTCAAGAAATTAATATCAATAATAATAATAATAGAAATAATATTATTGAAGATTTAATTAATTATGCATATACAAAATGGAATATAAAAACTAATGAATATTATTTTGATAAATATTTATTTAATTATCATCAACAAATTCTAGGACCATTACTTAAATATTCTAAATATGTTTCAAATGATCGAAATATTCATATATTAGAAAGATATTCAAATAAATATCAATCTGAATTACCTTATACATTTGGATATGTTTTAGCACCATCAATGAGTGTTTTTAATGATACATATTTAAATGCAGATGAAAATGAACGAATTGAAAGTATGAAAAGTATGGATTTATTTGCTAATTTAATACATAATGGGTAAGTTTAATAAGACGTATTTATTAGAATAAAAATATGTTTTTTTCTTTTTCAAGAGATATTAATATAAAATCACCTTATCATCAAAATATACAATATGAATCAATCGAAAAATGGCATCCAGTTTTTCCAGAATTTAATTTTATACTTCTTAAAAGTAAGTCGAAGAAATGATAACATGAGTTTTCGCTTTTTTTTTTTTGTTCAAAAAGAATCAGTCCATTTACCAATGGAAACGAGTTAGACAATATAGAAGAAGAATTCGGTAACGTCAACAGAGACTTTAGCATGTTTGTTTCTTATTGAATATGTAAAAAAGATAAGCAGTATAAATTGAATCAAATTTATTTATTAGAAAAAGAATGCATAAAAGACAAGTAAAAATATTCTCGATATATCCAAATGTGGATGTGAGTGTAGCTCTTGTCTTAATTCACACCACAACATTAATCATACGCTGATGATATCTTCATCAAAGAATTTGATATGTTTTAAATAATATTTATGTATTACTGTATTAAACTTTATCATATTTCGTCGTAATCCGTCATCTGTTTTTGTTTTTTTGCGAACCGTTTTTCCGCTAAGAAACAACATTTTTCTCCGATTATTTTCATCATTTTATGGGTTTACGGAAAACTACGAAGTAATAGCGTCGGTTTTTTGTATTCAATTATCAATAATTTATTGTAGAAATTGAATTAATACTTGTCATAGCAAGGTTTTATTATTATCCAGTCTAAATTTGAATTCGTATCTATTTTTAGTAATACGTAGAACGATTGAATAGAAGATTATCAATCTGTTAGCTTCTATAAATTATAATAAATGTTCGATAAATTGCATTCAAACTTTCTCGTGTTCTATTTTTGTGTATTAATTTTAATACTAAGTCTTTCAGATAAAGATTTTTATATTTTATATTTTATCTTTAGATGGTAATTTAAGTCAAGTTCGTGGTTATCATGCTGAAGTTCATTATCTTTTTAATAATATAATTGTAAATCATAGTGAAAATTCATTTGATATTAATTTATTAAATACTTGGAAAACTCTATATGATGTATCTCATAAAAAAAATCAATCAACAAATATTTATTCATCATTATTAACAAGACAATTTTCACCATTATTTGATTCAAATAATAATAATAATAATATTAATAATCAAAAATATATATTTATTCTTGCTTTAAGTACTTTTATATTATTAATAGTTAATTTATGTATATGTATTATTTTATCAAGACGTGGACAAGGTTGTAGAAAACGTGAATATAATTGTCTTAATGATCATAAACAATTAAATCTTGTTAATCAATCTGAACAACATAAACATCAACAACGACATGGTGGTTCATCACCATCAAGTACAAATAGTAATGGTACAATAACAATTGATTCAACACAACAATTAATTGTTAATACAAATTCAAATGAACAAGAACATCATTCATCATCACCATTATCATCATTATTATGTACAACAAATAGTAGTATTAATAGTACATCACCTATTGATGTATTACATCCAATAAATATAACAAAAAAAAATGGAATATTAAAATGTTCATCAATAAAAAAAACTAGTGTACTTGTTGTAGCATCATCTTTACCTGAAGCTATTGTATAATTATATATGTATTTTCGTTTCTTTGTTTTTTTTTTTTGTTTTGTTTTGTTTCTTGAACAAATAAAACTGTTTCGAACAGTGAAGTGTGTATGAAAAAAGAAACAGGAAAGAAAAAATTTTATTTCAATATGTTTGATTATATAATTCAATTGATGTTTTGTATCTATAAAGAGTTGATCTGAATGATGAATGAATTAAATTTTAATTCTTGATATTTTTGTTGATTATATATCATAAGAATAAAAATATAATCAAATTCATTTACAGATCAAGAAAATCTATGCTCAGTATAAAGTAATTTAATTGAATATTGCTCTCAAGGACAAAAAAAAGCATACTTTTGTACACTAGTTACTGTCGATATCAAAATAAATAATATCATTACTAGAGAAAATATTGACAAGGAAACGTTGGGAAGTGTCTGACGTTGTTTGACTTGATATTATGACTACGAGCAAATTTCTGTGAAATTACAAAAAGCTTTCAAGAATTCGAGCCCATAGTCTACTGGTGAAAAGTTATGGCTGTTTTATCGGATTTTTTTTCGGTGAGAACAAGGTACGTATTTCCGAAAGCATCAAAATGAAGAATTTTATCCTGAAATGTTACTTATAGATAGTTCTGATAATCATTAAAAAGTTTTGAAATTTTTAAATAAGACAAATGTGCCTTTTGTTGAAATATTCAATTACTAAAAAACAGCAGGCTACCACATAAGGATGCAATTGTTAAATCAATTCGGAAGTAGAATATTTCGAGATCAATATATTCATTTTCTCTAAAACTTTTAGAACTGTTTGATGGTTATTAATTCTATCTATGGACAACATTCGAGAGTGAAATTCTTCATTTTGATATTTTCGAAAATACTTGGCTCTCACTAAAAATTCCAGTAAAACTGTCATAACTCTTCACCGGTATATCATGGACACAAATCTTTGTAGACTTTTTGTAATCTCACAGAGATCTACTCCTACTCATAATATCAAGGCGAATGACGTCAGACAATTGGAGATGTTCCTTCATCAGTTTTAGGATACTTTTTAACTGTGAAACTTCGAGCAGAATATGCGAAAGTACTTGAGCATTGAAAAGATATTCGTAGCATTACTGGAAACTGGATACTCGTGAAGTCAATATTTTCTCTAGAAATCGACGACTTTTTTTCTTGTATTTACTGTCTTCTTCAAAAAAATGTCACCATGGAAGATAATATAACAGTTTTTTATTTGAACAATCGTAGAGAAAAATAATTGTCAATCATATACTGAGCGATTATTTATCTTGCTATGCGTCAGAAAGAAAAAAATGATCATAATTCATTATAGTTGATAGCTTTAGGCAAGATTAATGAGATGACTTGAGAACTATAAGGAAGGAAAGACCACCAATTTACAGAAATGATTGTTGTTGAACTGTTTGTCGTATTTATTGTTCGACCATCAGTGTTGATGATATCTGAAGTTGACCAATGTCACCATCAAATTTTTAATGAACAAACATGACAGATTATTAGATACTGTTCGTTTGAAATCAACTAGAGAGAGTCTGAATTGATGTGTTAAGGACGATGGTGATGTGAACGCGGATGGAAAAGTTAATGATGTTAGTTTTTTTGTAGCTTAGATTAATTTTCTGAAGAACCACTTTCATTGAGAGATCATCGTGTTGTTGAAGACGTTTGATTGTATGATGGTGATTTGGGAATGATTGGTAGATGCCATTACTTTACGCATATAATGATGTTGATGTTGTTATTAGATAGACGAGAAAAAGAATCATGTATCCCTATATAAGGAAACTATCAGTGATTAATTTATCGGTTCTCGCATATTTATATCTTTCCAATGCTGTCAAACTTTGAAAAACAGATTTCAGATTTACACTCGTCATATTCTCATGATCTCAGCAAGCTGTTTTTCCAATTCGAAATACTGCTCAGATGTTGAAAATGAATGGCTAACTTGAATCGTGATTCATGCATCTAATAGAAGAAGAATTCGTCTTGGGAACTAAGGGATTGCTGCTCATCATGTAATCAGCTGTCTTAGATGATTTGTTGTTTGTTGGTGGGCAGTATTTCCAACAGTTAATGTAACAAGCAGAAGTTAAAGAACAGAATATATGCTGTGTCTAGAATATACGCTATTTTAAACATTGCTTAGAAAAAAAAAGAATGTACAATTTGTTAATGGAATCTGTATTTTGATTCCAGGTCCTTGAAAGTTGTAGGTAGTATTAAATTAAAGTTTATGTATAGATGGTAGTGATATTATCATCTAAATATAATCTATAATTTATGTTTGTTACATAAACTGGTGTTTATTAGTAATATGATTAGTTCAGTTTCAACGCGAACCAAATCGACATTAGCTCAGTTGGTACTTTTTGAAAAACTAGATTATATCCGTTCCACAAGATTACGAACCGCTTGCATGTTTGGTGTTTATTTTATTTGTAAATGTGTTAGATGATAAAATTAGTACATGTATTTACATATAAAGAATAATTACAGCACGAGTTTTTCTGCCAGGGATTTCAAGAGTTGGGTTTAATAAAAGTATTCACTAACAATGAACAACCCTCATTTATATGGCATTTGATAGAGGACATTTCGAAGGCATATTAACCATCAAAAATCGAAAAAATTTTGATTTTAACATCTGAAAAGGGAATGAGTCTCCTTAAGCAGCTTATGAGTTTTATTAATATATTCTTGTTGAAAAAATCATATCATTTGCGATAATATCAATAATAGGTTTAAAATCTTGATCTCAACTAATAGTTTTTCTTCGTGCAGCTTGTCTTGTAATTGTATTTTTCTTTCTACAGTCTATTACTTTTTTTGACTAAAGAACCTTTTTATTTATCTCTATATGTTACTTCTTCGTTACAACGTTATTTTGCATTAGAGTAATGTATGCTACTTTTTTTCCAACTTGCTGTTCTGTGTTTTCTTTTGTATTTATCAGGAGTAAAAAAAATATTTATGTTTCAATTGAGACTTTTTTGTCGTAAATATTTTCTTTTCGTTTGCTTCACATATAAAAAATTTGAAAATGTATTTTACTTTTCATTATTAACGTCATTCGTTCTCATGTAAATAGTTCGATTTTAATTTATTTGGCATGAACACTAAATATCATTTATATTTTTTTTGTCAGATTTTAATCTTACACAAATATGAATACATATTGTCAAGAACAGCTACAATCATATGGTAAGTTTCAATCAATCAATAAAGAGATAAGATTCATCATCTTTCTTATAGCGAAAGTAGCAGAAAAATCTGGTTATCCTCGTTCTAATAGCTGAGTAGCAATATATACAACATCATCATCGAAAGACATTGGAAATATCTCACATACAGCAGTAAACATAATAATGCCAAATAATCATGGTATACAAATTCTTCCATCTATTTCAATAGGTCAAGAACCAATGCAATGTACTTGTCCTAACACCCATTCATTTATTAGAACCAGTGTTAGGCAAACAAATGGATTATTGGTTTGGCTTTTATGTGTTGTTTTAATCTTCCTTGTTTGCATATTTGACTGTTGTTTTATATCATTTTATATTAGTGATATAAAAAATGTTGAATACTATTGTCCTCCATGTAAAGCATTTATTGGTGAATTTCATCCTTTATAATTTTTTATATTTATATAAGCAAATAAATAAAAGAAAAAAAAATATATGTCACAGTTGACATGAGAATTTAGTTGAGATTGAAATAATAGATTTAATTACGTAGAGAGAAAAAAAATAGAAGAAGGAAAGAAAAGAAACGAAAAAAATTCAAATGAAATAAAAGAAAACATAAAAATGTAAATAAAATTCTTTTTTTTTTAGAATACGAAACTTTTTTTTTGTAATAACAAATCTCAAGCTTTCTGTAAATGATCATTATTTTTTTTTAAATTTTGATAATAAAAAAAAAACAAAAAAGAATAAATACAAATTATATTTCTTTAACAATATGAAATTTTTTCAATAGTAACAAATCGCAAATCTTTTTGTAACTGATCTTCTTTTTTAAAAAATTTGGTAATCAGAAAAAAAAATTTTATTTTTCTTTTGATTTATCTTAATGCATATTTATATCTTTTATATTACTTATACAATATAATTAATGTTTACTGTACAACTCATATTTTGATGTTAGTGAAGATAAAGTAATTTATCATAAACTACAAACATATATAGATTCATTGAATGCGAAAAAAAGAAATCAATATACAATTAAAAATGAAATGTACTTAAATATTTTAAGTGTTTTTAAAGAAGAAAATCAAATTGTATCACTTAAGTTTAAAGTTTGGATAAAGCAAACATTTAAATTGGCCCAAATAGGTTCAAATTCTTTGATTTATGTTATAAAAAATACTTTACCACTTGTTAAACATGAAGAAATATATTATAGAGTTGCTGATTGTCATATAGCTGTTGACCATTCAGGATGAGATAAAAACTTAGGCCGAGGTTAATTTTTTTCTTTAATTATTAATTTATAATATAATTCATATAGATCAAGCGTCATTATGCTGGTATCCCACAACAAGCAGTATTGATTAATATCAATATATGTGACATTTGTCAAACACGACGTTCATTTTCCACAACAACTAGTGGGAAACCAATTGTTTCAATAGGGTTTTTGACATGATTACAAGTCGATTTAATCGACATGCGCAATGCATCATATGATGGTTATAATTTTATAATGCATGCTAAAGATAACTTCAGCAAATTTAGTTGGCTGTACACTTTACCATTAAAAGAAGTGACTCATATTGTTAAAAATTTAGGTGATCTTTTTTATAGATTTGGACCATCTAAAATTTTGCAAACAGATAATGGAAAAGAATTTACGTAATATTTCATTTAAGATAATAATCATGCATTATTTGAAACTCGATCTAAAATGAATGTTGATGTATAAGAATAGAAATCTTGCACATACATATGGAAGCTTTTGGTATTACAGACATACTTAG